GCCAGCTTGATCGGTGTTCGTAGTCTCCCAGCGCGACGCTGTCTCGTGACAGTCCGGCTCGATGGCGGCGATGGCATAGCACCCGGGAAGGCCGGAGAGGTCATGTAAGGGTCCCTGGTGCGGAGCATCACATCCGGGCTCTCCGTCACAGAGGGCAAAGGCCCCACTTGTGGTCCCGAATTGGCAGGAGGACGTTCCACTGCCACCGTAGGCGAATGCAAGCCTCCCGTGGTCGGCCTCACCGGCGTGCGGGCCACATGTTTCTGCAAGGCCTCGAGCATCTGTTGCCGTGCATTTTGCTTCAGTCCCTCCTGTCCGACGATGGAGCCCAAGAGACCCGCAAGGCCCATGTCTTCGTCCTCCGGCTCTTTGGTGAGGGCTTCCCATTCCTTCTGGGCTGCATTGGTCATCTCGTTCTTGGGGGCATCCTTGGCAGCCGCATTCGTGATCATTGCCTCGGGGTGTAGGAGGGTTTCGTAGAGCTCGGCGACGGCCTTGTCCTTGGTCAGCATCCATTCGTTCTTCTCCTCCTCGAGCTTTTCCATGCCATCCTGGAACTTGGCCCTCTCCTTTGCGAAGGTGCTTTGCAGTTCCTGCTTGTACCTTTCCCATTTCGCGGCCATCTCCTTCTTGTCGTTGGCTGCCTTCCTGAGCTTGGCCTCCGACTTCCGGATCATGTTGGCCTGGCGCTGCACGAACTTCACCAAGTCGGTGGCTCCATTCGGGACGGAGGAGGGTCCAGGCTGGGCCTTGTTCTCGTCGCCCTCGGTCTCCGCCACCTCCATCGAGTCGAAAGCCGGGAAGGTCGAACGAGGGGCCGGCTCGGAGTGTCGCTTGGGCTTCTGTCGTTGCCGTGGATCTTGCCAGGCACCAGCAGATTGCCGCCGTTGCCAGGCTTGCCACTCTTCTTGGGTCCATTGCTTCTTGCCTCCCATCCGGAGCGTAGAAAGCTCACGGTACCTCGGCTGAGAGTGGTGGAGCGACAGCCGGAGTAGATCCGAAAGTCGCGGTTGGAGTCCACGGGCTCGATGAAGCCGGACTCGAGCCCTGGCCCGCGATCGGACCTTCCGCAGCTTTCGATGCCAGGCAGGCGAGCGAATGGCTTCAGCGTGCGTTGTGCACTGGGGCGTCGGCAATGCTGCACTACGGGCGAGCTTGTTCCGAAACCCTACATATATACATATATATATATATATATATATTGAACGGATTATGGAGTTAGATTTTAGGCTTAAGGTTCTTTAGATATCCAAGTCCAGAAACCACACTATCGCAACCTGCCCAAAACCCGCGCTTTGGCAGGGCCACTGAATTGAAATACTGAGGTCTCTGATAGCACCCTAGAGGACCTGTTGCCAGCTGAAGGTGCTTTGGGCTCTCACTCGGACGAGCCCCCCCAGCACCTCTACGAGGCCTGGGTGAAGGACCGGATCGAGTTTTACAAGAGGGTGGAGCCCACGGCGGCCCCTCGCGATCGCTCCCTCCGTGTCAACCCCAGCCTCAGCTCCAGGCTCCGGTTCAGCAAGACGAACCTCATGGGCCAGGTCTCCGACATGATCTGGTCGGTGGTGCTCTCCAACCCGGAACGGGATGGCCTCAAGAAGATCCATGAGCTTGCGGCATCCCGGTCCAAGCAGCACATGCGACTGCGAGCCGTATGTCGCCGTATGTGATGAAAGGATCACCCTGCCGTTGAAGGCCTTCCGTGACTTCCCGGAGATCTACAACTCGCTCTCCCACTCTTTGGGGCAGGACTCGGTGGTGGAGGTCAAGATGGCGTGGCGCTGCAACACCGTGCAGTGGTGGACAGCCCGCCTCAAGCCGGAGTACGCTGGCCCCATCTACCGGAAGCTTGGCTACTCGGAGAGCCACATCAAAGGCCTCGGCTTGGGGAACATGGACGCCTCAGCTGCCTTTGGCGCTGAAAGGATCCCTCTGGACCCCGGGTCGGAGCAGGAGCGCTCCCTCCCGCCCATCACTCCAGACAACGTTTCGAGTGTGGCCTCGGACGACTACAAGAGGAAGAACGTGGGAGACAAGACTGCCCACGTGTTTTGGGCCAAGATGGAGTGTGGCCTGGTCCTCAGCTCCGTTTCCCCGTGGGAAATTGTTGACAAGAAGAAGGGTGAGACTCGTGGGGGCTACGTTTGCCGCCACTGCAAAGGATTCTGGCGAAGTGGCAGAGGGGCCAGCCGCTTCCTTCTCATCACGGGGGAGCACAAAGGGAAGTCGGCCCAGCTCCCTGTTTGGGTACACATCGAACCGACTCTTATCCATCTGTGCAACCCGGTATGAAACCTTCCTAAACCCTTCAACCCAATGCTGGACCCTCAAACGGCTAACCCCAAACCCTACCCTAAACCCTGAACCCCAAAACCCTCAACCTTAGAGAACCCTACTATAAGCCCTGTAATACCTTCATACCCAAAGCCCTCAACTTGGTACCCTAATCCCCTTGAAGACAAAACTTATCACCCGGACATCCTCGCCGCAACCGTAAGAAGAGGCTCAGCTTTTTTGGTGTATGGATGAGGGGTTTAGGGGCCGCTTGTGGCTTTGCCTCATAACTCTTCCGGGTCCTACAACGCCTTCTTTTGTTGGATGCCCAAAGACGCGAATATCCCTTTCTCAGACTACACAGGGGTCCTTAACTAAGGTACACTGACCCGCTTACAGTCCCCATCTGAATCTATGTCCTTTTATGCCTCCGAAGCCCTGTTCTAAATGAAAGCCACCCTAGACCGTATAAATTGAGTGATCTTGAACTCTCCACTCGGTTTAGGGTTAAGGATATAGTAGGTGTCCATATCAACAGTCCACAGAAAGATAAATACTGAATAAGGGAAATTATAAACCTTTTCCCAAACCGATACCTACTATTGGCGTAGGTAAAACTATAATTATAGTAAGGAGCCCTTAACAAGTCTTGGTATTTCTTTCGGCCCCTATACCATAGGCTTGAATCTTTGGGGTGGGTAAGTAATTGAATTAAAGACTTATAAGTATCATGACCCCAATTAGGATCCTTGTTAAGGTACGTATAAGTCTACTTACGACCTACTTACTTGAACTGTAAACTCCAAACCCCTACAGTAGAAGCCAGAAAGTTGGAATATGATTATCATAGTCCCTTCAAGGTAAATTATAGGGTATCCTACCCTGAAACCATATTCCAACTTTCTGGAGTTCCCTTTAACTCCTAACTCCAAACCCGCTAACTCCTAAAGCCTAAACCCTAAACCCTAAACCCTAAACCCTAAACCCTAAAGCCTAAACCCTAAACCCTAAACCCTAAAGCCTAAAGCCTAAACCCTAAACCCTAAACCCTAAACCCTAAAGCCTAAACCCTAAACCCTAAACCCTAAAGCCTAAACCCTAAACCCTAAACCCCTAACTCCTAAAGCCCCCAAGTGGCCGTCCTGCAGGCCCTTTGCAATGCCCTCCTCAAGCTGTGCGCGCAAGGCGTTCTCGAGGGACTCCTGTGTGGAAATAAGCCCGCAAGCAACTCTTAAGCGCTTCTGTAGTAGCGGTTTAGGGTTTAAGGTTTAGGGTTTACGGTTATAATTACTATTAACCCCTTGGCCTTAAACTCTAAAAACCCTAACTAAGTGCGAAAACGTATAAACCCGCAGCATCGCTTCAGCCTATTCAAAGAGGCTGGGGGGCTTCTGATCTCCCACGGCACGGGCCCAAGAATCTAAACCCTACTGAACTTAGAACCCTAGCAAAAAATGTACTTTAGCTGTTTCTTAGGGCTTATAATAACCAAAAATTATTTTTTTTCTAAGTACCGCTAAGTAAACCCTCAGTAAACCCTAGCCACAAAGGAATATCAAGGAACCACCAACCCAACCGGACCGCGGACAACGAAAATGTTGCAAGGAGCTGGAGCTTGCGAGGTCCATGCCGGAGTATGCTACAATCAAATGATAGAGTGGCAACACGGGGATTGTATTGCTGCCAACGAGTCATCTCTACTTTATCCCCAACCCGAGGCCCCGTGGTTGCAAAGCAAAACAGCAGGCTTCTGACCCACTCGAACCTTTTTGCGGAGCGCGGTCGCCTGCGCCACTACAGAACGAGGACGCATCCTCATCAAGCCGGAGATACATATGTGGACCCATACCCCTGAGCTTGGGGCTTCCAGTTTAAGGCCTAGTTTAGGATGTAGGCTTGATAATATCCCTTGTAGCCCCGTCGTGCTCCTAACAGAAATCCTTCCAGTAATACGTACCTTTCTGGGAGTGTCGACTTCTGATTTAGGAAATCAACCGTAAAGCGAGCCTGGCGCAAAAGCCATGGACTCGTGGACCTTGACCCTCAAGTCTGAAGCTTCGGTAGAAAGCGAAGGGATAAGTTTAAGCCTTGTAGTGTTGAGGTACCCGAGTGCGAATCTCTTTCACCCTGATTATGCCTTAAACCCTGTAGACACTAAGCAAAATCCTAAGCACTCCTATATATATCTTCAACCCTACCGCTCGCTGCTTCAACAACCGGGCCCCCAAAAGTTCAAACTTTCTAACATCGCGCCATATAAGTTTACAGTTCCCCCGTTCACCATCTAAGAAAGCCCTAAGCTGCAGTCATCTAGGCGGGGCCCTTCATCCTCCGGCGGCGCTTTGGCTCGCGACGATCCTCGGCAAGACATCCCTGGAACAGTTAGGCATTTTGGGTTTAGGGGTTTAGGGTTTAGGTATACGGGTACGTAGGCAGTTCTCGAAATTAGGGCCCCTTTTTACTTAGGTCCCCAAAATAGTACGGCACCCTTGCAAAAAGGACCCTACTTTAGAGAACTACCCAGTTGGGTCTAAGGTTTATACGCGTTTGGGTTTGAGTGCTTACAGGTTTATCTTTCGGGGGGTTAAAGTTTAAGGAGCATGAACTTCCACCCAACAAAAATGCCAACCAAGAATCGGTGAGGGCCTCATTGGCCTCATTCAGCAAGGCAGCGATGTCCTTCGGAGGGTTTCGGAGTGGCTTGTGGGCTTAGGCCAGGGGCTTCAATCTCCAGAATCCGCAGTCAAGAAGCTAAAAGGTAAAGGGGGGCCAAGGGGCTCAGGGGCAGAGCAGACGGAAACCTTAAGGTCCTGCTTCCCATACGCTTCAGCCAGCTGTATCGGAGTGCTGCCGCTCGCTGTCGTAGTCAAATCTGCGCGACCCTGCACCAACACACGGGCCACCTCCAAGTGCCCTCGGCCACCACGGCAAGCCCTAAGCCTATGTAAATCCTGATGGTTTCTTTGTCTTCCAGGCCCAGGGTATCCCAAAATTCTTCAAGAAGCACGAAAACCAATCTGAAGCTGGCACTGTCATATTTGGGAATTCAGGGAAACCATTCCGACTGAGGTTCTGCTAAAGCTGCAAAGCGTTCAAGCAGAAGCATGAGCGCTTCTGTTGCGACTCATTAGGGTGCTCGTTCCGTGTACGTGGCAAAACAGGCTCGATAGGCATTGTGGGATTCTTATGCACAAAGATGGCGCAGTGTTGATCATCCGAATAGAAAAACGCGATTCTTCTCTGCATCTTGCACAAGGCTTCTGACTTACAGGGCTAATCGAGCAGTTGAAGACGATCCTTGAATTAGCTCAAGACCATATTCGACGATTTCCGCAGTTCTATATGGGTGCAGCATCACATGATACCGCCAAGAGGCCACTCGAGCAAGCAACGTGTAAGGGTGACATGCCATCCGGCCCTCGCCAACGACGGGCAATGTCGGCGCCAGCTCCCACAAGGGAGCGCACGACTTCCTAGGTGTCGATTTCAACAGCCCCCGAAACTATTGAAGAGTACTTCTATATACTAAAACAACGAAGGAACTTACGAATTATCCCAAATCGATGCCGAGTTTCGGTATGCCCCAGGATTGTAGCGACGACCAGTGGGGACAGATCAGAGACAGTAGCCTTCTCTTTGTCTGCGCCGGCTTCCACCAAGAGCTGTACCACCGACACCTCGTTCCTCTCGCAAGCGCAAAGGAGCGGCGTGACACCATCCTAGGTTCTGCACACGGAACCTACAAAAGATACCGCCCTGAAAAAGGAATTGCAACCCATCCGGATTTTGGCAGCTTAACCCAACTGCCTCAATCTAGGCCCTCAAGTTCTAAACGGAAACTCCCAAACCTTATAGAGCCTTTATTTAAGGAAGCCTTATAGTACCCTTATAGTAACCCTTTAAAGGAACTCCAAGATCTGAAACCCGAACCCCAAACCTCTGAAGTAAAAGCCAGAAAGTTGGAATATGATTATCCTAAACCCTTTATGGTAAATTATAAGGTATCCTACCCTGAAACCATATTCCAACTTTCTGGAGTTCCCGTTAAAGGACCCAGCATCCACCGAAGTGCAGTCGATGTCAGCTCGACACTTCAGCAGGAAGCGGATTGCCTCGAGTTGGCCTCCCGCGCAAGCGATCATCATGGGTCTCAGACCTGAGTGCAGGGTTCTATGTCGGGTCGCGAGTGTAGGATTTACGGTTTGGGTTTTGGGTGTCGGGTTTGGGGTAACCCAAATCGCAACCTTAAACCGCAAACCTGAAATCCTGAACCCTACGGGTCTAGCACATCGTCATGTGTCTAAGAAATCTCAGCTCTCTTTGTTACTATTTTGGGGTTTTAATGTAGCATTCTCGGTCCAAGACCTCAGTGCAGTATTTGGGAGTTTCCGAAAATTACGGGTACCTTATTTTGGGGTCCTTATAATAAGGATCCTACTATTTAGGGTACTACATTAGGGTCCCTGATTTTCGGAAACTCCCATTTACTTAAGTGCCTTTAGAACCATAAACAAAATGCTCATCTTCATGATAATCCCTTCGGGGTTTAATTGTAATAAAACGAAATAAAGAATGACTCCCAAGACGTTCTAAGAACCCTGAAGTTTATAGGGGCGAGGACTGAGTGCGTAGGCTTTATGTAGGCTTCAAGGCATGAAATTGTGATATGAATTTTGGGGTACCTGAATACAACGGAACACTGAGGGTCAGACTGCCTTGCCCTGGTGGTAACTGGTTGACATCGGCACCTCCATCCACCAAAACCTCCAAGAGTTCTAGATGCCCACGTGCGCAGGCAAGATGCAAGGCTGCGGTGGTAAGCCTTCCGTCTGTAAATGTCTCGGCTACATCAGCCTTAGATTCAAGCAGCCATCTTGCGAAATCCGAATGGCCTCGGTGGCAAGTAGCGTGAAGAGGGGACATTCCTTCTCTTTCTCCACCCGCGACATGGGCACGAGCTTCAAGCAACAGCTTGGCAGATTTGAGACTGCCGTGGTAGGCTGCCAGGGTCAAACAGGCCACATCCATGACTGCAGAGTTGGGATCGTAGGGCTTTTGGAGAAAAGTGTCCACACCTTTCTCGTCATCAGTCGCGATTGCGTCCGACAGCTTTCGCAGGCAATCAGCTTCTGGCACTGCATAGGTCAGAAGCACGAGGCTCAAGTCCGTCGGGAGGCTCAGCTGCGCATCCTGACGCATGAAGCTTCTTGCCTCATCAGACTGCTAAATTTCAACCTGCATCCCCACACAGCCATGAACCTTGCCTTCTCAATCTCCATGCATGCACCCGCCCATATATGCACGAACTGCACCTCACTGCTCGGCCCTGCCCATTGCTATTGCATTCCGTTCCATTGTATCTTATGGCACGGTGGCTCTCCATCCAACATCATGTTACAGCACGTACATCCCACGCATGCGCCGTGCATGGGTAGCTCAGTAAATAATGAGAACTCTGAAATATCTTGTTGGTTGAGAATTCTACTTGTCTGTGGCGTTGGAACCCTTGTAGATCCCTTTAAGGAACCCTTTTCAAGCTAACCCTAATCTCCTTTATAGAACCCTTATAGATCCCTTCAAGGAACCCTTTTAAAGCAGGAAACCTTAGCCAATGCGTTTCGTTGCCCTGTTGCCTTGACTTCTGCAGCCTGCATTGTCAGTTAGGCACTTTTTGCTACAAGTTCTGTCCCCCTAGGGCCTTGCCCAGAGAGCCCAATACCCCTTAATTATAAGGAATATGGCTTAACTCATAATATGAAGCTCCTTATAATTTCAGGTATATATTGCTTAATTAAAGGGTATTGGGCTCTCTGGGCGAGGCATCAACAACCCGGCCCTTCGGCACATGGACACTGAGGGCGACTTGGGTCTGAGTCAGGGTTTAGGGGTTTAGGGTTTAGGTGTGTAGTGGTTTAGGGTTTAGGGTTTAGGGGCTTAGGGGTTTAAGGGTTTAGGGCAACTTGGGTCTGAGTCCTCATGCAAGATGCTCCCGCCCTGCAGGAGCCGCTGTCGGAAGCGTGGCTGACCCGTCAAAGAAGACAGATGTAGCTTCCTGAGCTATACCCCCCTTAGAACCATGACAAAAATAGTATGCTTAATATTCTCTGGGGCTCAAAAATAAACACACTAATTCGGAAGGAGACTATAGTGAGAGAGTTTGCAGAGTTGCATAAGATGTCTATGGGGCTTTGTAGGAGCGTTAAAAGTCTTAATTGTAGCCCTGTAGTGCAGACATGGGGTTCACACAAGTAAGGATGACTTGTCTCGGGATGTGAGCAACAAGGATCTTAAGGATCTTATTATTTCTCATATATATATATATATATATATATATATATATATATATATGGATGGTATCCTTTTTTTTGGGGGGGGGGGTTGCAGTCTAAAGTGGGATCCCGGAATTCATGCAACTCTCGGGTGCTGCCAGTCTGGCATATTAAACGGCTCAGGGCTCAGCCGCTGAAAGCAATGGACCAACAGCGCTACCACGAATCTAACACATACCACAACTGCGTAGCTCCAGAACCACGATCTTGGAAAGCGCTGCCGACATTGCTACCGCGAACCAACAATGTTTACACGTGGGTAGTCCTGCCGTCCTGGCCTCTTCCATTTTGCGTTTCCCTGCATTGCGCACAAAGGCGACGGTGAAACGTGTCCACCTCCTTCAGCTTGGACCACAGGTCGTTCGGTACCAGTATGCAGATACGCAGGAGAGTTCATGTCAAGGCTGAGAATTCCAAACACGTTCCCGGAAAAATCATCCAAAGGTGCGCTGCTCCGTTTTTGCTACCCAAGGTCCTGTCAACCCCGTGGGAAATGTGGGAACGATACGGAACGATGTGACTACTTCAAGCCGTCGCGGATGAATCCTGGTGGCATTGCGTAGTGCCCGATATAGACCCTAAGTAAAAGATATGGCTTGGCATGGTATGATATGATACGTAATGAAAAAATGATGAATCATGCACATACTTTTGTATCCTGCCTCGGCATAACTTTAGAAAACCTCCGATTGAAGCTTAGGACTGATTGCGGCTACTACCGAGACATTGCACAGGATTTCTCTCGCACTTTGATTGAACCGATATACCATACTTGAGATCGTCTTAACCCTAAACCCCAAACCGCAAACCGTATCGCACAAGCCGGTTCAAGGTTGCAGACTTTGGATTCTCTCTGGCGGACAGAAAATCAGCCCCTGTTATCCGATATGAAGCAAGAGCCCGAAAGCGTCAACATAGACTTCAACTTTACCTCAGTCATAAGTCATAACAACCCAAAGCATAATCCACTAAATCTGAACCGGCACCCATCACCTCCGAGCCCCTGTATGGGGAGGCCGAGCATCAGAGTCTTTACAGAGTTTCCACCCTTCTCCGTCAGACTGTCGAACTCTTCGGCAGAAAGAGTCAGAACCAAGAGACCAGACGACATCAGCCGAACGCGCAGCATGCTGTTTCTGAGCCCTTAGAGGCTGGAGCTGTAAGGCATAGGTGGAGGAGTGGAAAGCCCCAAAACCCTCAACCCCGGGTACTGCTGCTCTGGCATGGGATTGGTTACTGGGTTTGAAGTCCCTTGGTTTAGGGTTGTAGGTCTCGGTCCGTAGGTTTATAGGTCTCGGTCGTAGGGTTTAGGGTTATACATGTTTCGGGCTTGGGTCGTGAGGGTTAAGGCTTCGGTTTTGAGTGATAGGGTTGAAGGATTTGCGTTCAGGGTATACGGTTTTGGATTTATCAAACTACTCGAGCCATAGTGGAACAAACTGTCCCACTTAGAAGAGTCTTGTGTTTGTGGTTAGGCTTAGCAAAAGGCTCGCGCGCTGTGAGCCTCACACAACGTTTCATGGTGGCTGCAGTGGAGTTAAAGGACTTCAGAGCTATGACTGGTGGATCGACTTTGAGGGTTCAGGGTGTTGGGATCCAACCCTCAACCCTAAACAACCTTAAACCCCAAACCCTAAACCCCTAAACCTACTAAACCCCTAAATCCTAAATCTTGGACCCTAAACCTCTAAGTAAGCCCTAAACATTCGAGAGGTCTCCGGTTCCGTGCTGAAGGCTGAGGTGAATGCTCAAGGTTTGGCTTGGGCATTTCGTGCTTTGAGGATGAGTGCTGGGGTCCCCACAATCTGCCCCAAGCCAAAATACGCGGAATTGAAGGAACAAACACTGCTTCGGGGATATACCCGTGCCCAGGATAGATTATCGTTCAAGCTTCGCGGTTCGCGTGAGGACCACCATGAACGCATAATGATGCCAAAGTTCGATCGTGGCGACGGCGATGATGATGATGATGATGGTGGCGCTCGTGGTAAGATAATGGTAGCATGAGGATATTCGTGTTGCTGCTGGTGATGATTGGATCCACGCTTTTAGGCTATCAGCTGTGACTATGGCAGCTACGGCTACGGATGAACCGGATTTGACCACGTAAGGCTTTCCGTCCGGGGCGAAATTTCGCGAAGCCATCGTCCTCGTGGGCTGCGATGCCTTCACAGCGCTCAAGGAGATCGTTGATCGATGCGCGTGTGGAAACCTCGTGCTGGAAGGTTTCGAGTTGCTCGAGGTCACTCTCTGCACTCTTATGCACTTCAACTATGAGGCTTTCCACGTTGCTGTATATATATATATATATATATATATATTCTCACGTGGGGCTGTGCGCATGTTTGCATGCAGGTACTCTTGCTGGATCGTTGACATAGCAGAGCCTCCAGTGCTACATTGCTATTAGTATAGTACTAGTAGTACTAATTCTTATAGTATCATTGCTTGTTTTAGATTCAGTACCATGATTACTACTGATATCATCATTAGTACCAACAGTATTTCTGCGATTACTGCAAATGATGCTGTCATTTGTTGTACCCATTACTGTTGTGGTTTGCTGCATGATTATTCATATATAATTGTTTTTACGTTACCATAATTATTATCACTATCATTAATTCAGGCCTGCTTGAAGCTGCCCGCGAAACGGGAGTGCTGAATCTCGGAGCCCAACAGATTCCGAACTTCGAATGCAGACCCGAAGCAAGTGCCACAATCAGTCTCGAACTGAGGGGATGTGTATATAGGTGCAAGATGAGGTCAACCGTAGAAAGATGACGATTGTTAGCTTTGCTGACGGAGCGTGAAGGGTTAAGCGGCATAAGCACCACTGGGGCATCCCACCGTGCTCGAAACCTCGCCGCCAGAAACCTCGAATCAAGAGACTGCACAGATGGAATGTTGCAGGTCAGATTTAATTAAGGTGTCAGGGTGCAGGTTTAGGGTTTGGGAGTTTAGGGTTTAGGGGTTTAGGGGCTGAGGGCTTAAGGTTTAGGGTGCAGGTAGTCAGGGTTCAGGGAAGGGTTTGCGAGGTCCCACATCCAGTGTATGGAGGAGTTCTGGACACGTGCACTTCAACCAGCTAATCAGTCAGATTGCCGTACCGCAGGAGAACCTTCCCGCAAAGTGAGGATATGCTGTTCATGCTTGATTCAAGAACCGCCCAATTAATGAAAGCAAATCAGCTGGAGCCAGTGACGCAGAGCACAGCAAGGTCTTGCATGATCGCGACTCCAGCCCGAATCCGGAAGCACCCAAAGCCTAGGCACCTGAACCAGACCCAAACCCAAACCCCACTTGTCAGTATAGTAAATCGCAATGTCCCCGGGGGTGGCAAGAACAAACCGTGGAAACACAACTGTGGTCAAATCCGCACCGTATATAACCCGGGGAGCTACAGACAGATATAGCAGCACGACTACTACTACCACGACGACTACTACACCACTACTACTACTGCTGCCGCCACCACCGCTCCTGCTGCTGGTATTACTAGTTGGAAGTGCGTGAGCAAACGCTACGAACCAACGAGGACAACTATGAGAGCGACAGCAGCGGAAAGAGCATAGCACTGCGCTCACTACCACCACTGGCCCCGGCCCCACCACCGAACTCTGGATCAGGATGAACACCTGCCAAGCCAAACATGCTGAAAGACACTGCCTAGGGTGCCAGAGATTCGGTCGTCGGAGAACCTGAACAAACACTTGCCCTGAAGCCCACACTACCGACCTGAAATACAGCACTCTTTCTTAAACCCCTCAAATTCCACCTAAACCGTGAATCCCAAATCCGGACCATGTCGGGATTTGTAGGATCATCCAGGAGCACAAGATGGTCTTGGGCACCGAAACCTGGATCATCTTAAACATCTGAAACCCCACGGCTCTAGACTCTCCGAAGATCGATCCTAAACCCTCAAACCTAAAGCCTGAACCCTAAATCCGTGACTCTGAAACTCGAAGCATCAATCCCAAACCGCCCTACAACCTAAACCGCTGAATCCTAAACCGCGGAACGCTCAAGACCCAAACAAAACAATCAAAACTGCTTGGAGGGTCGTGGGACGTAGTAAGTTAACTATAGTCACCTGATTTATAACCATATAGTTGCTAAGTGCCGTGATCCTCAACTTCCTTATTTCCTATGGAAATACAGTCTAGCATACCCCAAAAGGCCCCTAGATGACAGAACTCTAACTCTAACAGCAGTCCTTTTTCTAACCCCTCTAAAGGAAGCCGATTCTAACTGTTCAGGCCCCGAACGAACTGTGAGGCCCTGGCTTCCGACGTGGTGGAGGAGCCCTGGATTCGGCAAGGGGGCTTTGGAGGTTTGGGGGTCAGCAATTTGAGTGGGTCCTTTAAGGGTTCTTTAAGAGTTTTATAAGGATTCTGGTTCAGTTTATTGGGCTTTAAGGGTTCTATAAGGGCTCTTTCAAGGGTTCTAGGTTTAGGGTTGACGGGTTGACTTTAAGGGTTTGCAAAGTTCTATAAGGGTTCTTTAGGGCTCTTCTCAGAGGTCTATAGGTTCAGGATTCACCTGACCTGAAGGGTTTTTCTAAGGATGATACAAAGGTTCTTTACCTTAAGGGCTCTTAGGGTGTCCGCCTGCGAAAGCGTGGCTCAGGGTGTCTGTAGAGCTCTTTAAGCCTGCATGATCAAACTCTGAGGGTTCAATCCCTCTTGGTTTGGGGGCACCTTCGAGCAAAAACCCTAAACGTTAAACCCTAAATCCAGGGTATCGGTACATGGTTTTATGCTAGCACGAGGTACCTCGTTTTTTTATCATTATACTATACATTTTATCTATGTATATATATATGTATATATAGCATCAAGCTTGCTTAGGGTTTGGGGTAATTAGGGCTTGGGGTTGGCTGGAGTCTACTCATGAAAATGAGTGGTCCCTCCGAAACCCCGGCCCCCTATAGCAAATGACCCTGAATCCCAAACTCTACAGTACATCCCGCTGACCCTAAACCCGAAACTCCAAACCCTGAACCCTCCTGACTGCTAAACTCTTCGAACGGGCTCTGGTATACTATATATTTTTTCTGCCCCCAAAATCGTATTGGTAATAATTTAGGCTCCTATACTAGGGCTTTCAGGAATTGGGTTTCGCCTGGATTTGAAGAAGGAGTTCCGCAGCTCGTGCTTTTGTCTGCTCGCTGTGCACACCACCTCGGTCAGGGTAGAATCTACGGCTCTGGCTCAGGGTTCCGGAGTTTTGCGGGTTGAAGGCGAGGAGGCTTTTGTGCTCTTTTGTTGTCATTACTATTCTTCGTAGTTACTATTCCGATTACTACTATTCTTCTTCTTAGAACTTATTGTTACTATTAGTCATATTAGGCGTAGGCCTCTACGCATCCGAGCTTGGAGTGGGCCTGAACTAGATAGGCTCCAACTGGAGACTGTCTGCAGTCCTGCCAGCTCCTGAGCACAAAACCTCGCAGCCTCATTGTAACCCCCCTGCTCTCGCCCGTCCAAAAACAAAGCTGAACACGGTTTAGGGCTTTAGGGGTTTAGGGTTGTAAGGTGAACCCTGATCATCCGATAACACCCCCCCCCACCCCCACCCGAAGCATCCTAAACCCTCGACCTTATAACACCAAGTCCTATCGCCCGACATCAAAAAAACCAAGCCACGCTTTCGGGTTGTTTGTCTGAGCAGCTTTGGGGCTAAGGAGCTATACGGTTCTGGTTTGTGGTCACTCTAAAACCTGTGGCTTTCTAGAGCCCTCCCTTTCTAGCCCAGGCCTAAATGTGGAATCTTGTGAAAGAAGACCTAATAGCCGAAAACTTCAGACGAAATTAACCTGCCTATAGTAAGTCTAGACCCTCAACTTCCCTCAACCCTAAAACACTCAACCGAAACCCTCTTTGTTCCCAAAACCCTGTACTCTATGTAAACTCGTTGTGGTTCCCACGTGCCTTTGTTCGACACCAGCGATGCGAGATTCCCGGAGATCTGTCCCATCTTTGCAGGTGGCGGCCTTGATCGAAGGCGCTAGGGATTTTGTGTCAAGCTCTGAGTCTTCGTGGCTTGTGCTTAAGGTCTAGTTTTACGCTTAAGGTTTTTGAGTTCAGAGATTTGAGTCTACAGCTTTGGATTTAGATGTCTAGG